TAAAAAGGTAAAAGCGAACATGTTATTCGTGAAGAAATTCATGTGTTTGCTAAGCAATTGTGTGAAGGTAAACCTGGCCTCAAAAATGTCAATTAATGCTCCCTGGATAAAAATAGTGAATATGCCACTACAATCGGAGGTCACAGAACCAATCATGTTTCTCTTCAGGTCTTTTTGTTGGCAGAGAAGTACACGAAAAGCGAGAGATTGGAATTTCACCGCTATATTCGTTGCACAAATGGCGTTACCATGATGATCGTAGTATTTGTACGAAACATCACATAAATACACAAAATAAAGTAAATTGCCACAAAGACAAAACGTATGGAGTGGGAGGGAACCAGCACTATTTCTGGGAACTCATGGCTTATTTTTTTTATTCAGTGTAGATTTAGTGTAGAAGAATATTGAGAAGTGCCTGCGAAAGGTATCATACTTTGCTCAAAAATTCACTTTCAAAAAGTCGGCATGTTTTTCATGTTAGTTTGAAGGGGAAGCAACTGAAATCCAAATGATGTGAACACGCCTAGTACTTCCTGACGAATTAGTGGGGTTGTTTGTTGTTTATGCGAAGAGTTTCTTGCATGAATGGAGAATCACAAAAGCGGTGAATAACAGCTGATAAATGATCGCATGCTAATTATCTCATCATCAGCATGTCTCCTCAAATACCAAGCGTTTACGAGACCTCAAATAAGATACGGTTGAGAAACATTTTCGAATCCTGGTCGAATTGTTCAATACTTCTGTGCCACGCAAGGTTGACAGTTGGAACCTTCACTCACTGAACCGATGTTTCGATCTTTTCTTCTTCTGCGGCCAAAGCCCTTCCTGGCAGAGAGCGCAACGGCAGAGGGGGAGAAATCTCACGGCGAACGATCTGCCCAATTGTTTCTTAAATATTGGTACGATAAACACTCGAGGATTGGTAAACGATGCCGGAATTGATCAGCTGATATCAGAATTGGAAAGGAATGCTGTAGATGTCGCATGTGTTCAGGAAACGCTCAGAAATGAATCTGGAACATGGAAATGGCATACGGGCCATGAAGTTATACTAGGAGCCGGTACGAGGAATGGAAAAGTTGGCGGAGTCGGATTCGTCGTGGCGCCGCACTTGGTTCCGAGAATAGCTCTGCTGCGAAGTCTTTTCTGAGAGAATTGCCATGATTGTGGCTTGAGTTGGGAAAAGCAAGCACAGATGAAAATATTGTCCGTTTATGCACCTACCGGAGCCTATGATGACTAAACAATTCCCCAAGAGGAAATTATATAATATAATATGTGCTGGAGACTATAACGCCCATTTAGGGACCAGGCGAACATGGAGAAAATTTCGTGGGACCATATGGTATTCCAGGACGAAACAATCGTGGAGAAGCGTTAGCCCAGTTCAGTGAAAGGTGTCGCTTATCGGTGGCGAATACATACTTCCAGAAACGTCAAGGGCGCCGATGGACTTACCACACCCCAATAGAATGATGTTCCATGAAATCGACTTCTTTTTAACGAATTGTTTACGACTTTTCCAAAACGTTACAGTCATTTCGGAAGCCCATTTCAACATCGGCTCAGATCATCGTTTGGTTCGAGCAACGATAGTAGTGAAACTGAGAGAAGAGCGGAGACGATTAGCTGCATACCACTCGAGAAGAACCAGATACGTACTATCAGATGAAATGCTTGAAGCGCTTGCTGCAACCACAGATTTTTCTGTAGGACATGGAAGCATACACATCAAGTATGAAAAACTGACCTCCGCCATCCAATCCCTTATTAAAAATGCCTCCGAACGTGTCCGAAGCAATCCACGAGAGCGATTGAGTGCCATTACTCTACAGATGTTGGCCACTCGGAAAGAACTGGAAGAACCATGACCCCTGTGGCTCGAACGGTGTTGAACAAGGCCATACGTTACAGAGTCAAAAATGATTATCGAGAATATGCGGCACGAAAAATACGAGAAGCAGCTGAAAAGTCGATAAGCCTCAAAAGAACATATATCAGTACTCGCCTCAAACCATCACTCCCTGAATTCCTAACAAAAGCAGATGGCTCTGTTGTCCGAAATCGTAAGGATATGGAAGAAGAAATCCAAAACTTTTTCCAAGACTTGTTCTCTCCAAAGTGCAAGTACAACCGGAAATGACGCCATTCAATGATCCTGACGAAACATCCGGGAGAGAAGAATGGCGAGTTCTCGAATCTGAAGTGATACAGGCAATCCGTCAGATGAAGAGTGGAAAATCACCCGGACCCGACCAAATTCGAGCAGAGCACTTGAAACGCCTGCAAAAATTTCTCACGCTCCGCTAGCAGATATATTCACGGAAATACTTGCGTCAGGAACTGTTCCGAAAAGAATTGGCTGGGCTCCAACACTATTCTTGATACACAAGAAAGGACCACGTGACGTCTTGGCTTTTTCCTCTATGATGTTTACCGCTCGAGAAAAAAAACTGTTCAACAGTTTGCTCGGCTTTTCTGTTAAGAGAGAAACCAGACAACCTCATACTTGTAATGAATGATTCAGTGTTTAGTGTAACTTGGGAAAACAACTAATCACTTTCGGAGTATCCACGGAATATTTCCACGAACCTCAACTAGAAGGTTCTGGTAATTTTATGAATCTCCGTGCAACCCGTCGTGAACGACGAATTCTTTCTTCCTTCCAGGACCGAAAATGGACGAAGGAATGAAAAAATGAAATTGGTCGCCTCTGCAAGAAACTGATTGCATGCTTCTCAACGAGTTATGTCCATCATACCTTTTGGATACTATTAATTTCTTGGAGCAGTGTATTTCAAGAGGTATGGGGTGTGAGCGCAAAATGTGCCTGAACTTCTATTGCTGCATGCAAAGAGTAATTCCATACTTTCTCATATCGACCGATGTGTTCACATTGTCACCATTTCTCATTACGACGAGCACAGTCCAACAGATTCTTCGCACTTTTGCAGTCTCATTCAGTTGAAATTCGAGCATAGTGGTGGTTTCAGTGATTCTTTCAAGGTACGGCATCTGTTTTTGTGGCTGGCAAGCATATCCTTGTGTCACGGGGCAAGTCTTACTCAGGACTACCAAGTGTCCTGACATTCATATATAAGCAAATCTATATGAAGTTTTATCACATTTTTCGGTTTTGTCCAATTTCATCCAAACATTCTGACTTTACTCAAAATTTCCCCTTCTCGCACCTTGATTAGGATCGAAGCAGGATTCAGGGAATCACAGAGGTTAAGGAAAATGGAAGAGAAAGAAATTTATACAAAAGAAGTCACTTCATTCATTCCCAGTAGATCTTTTATTTTTTGACGCTGACGCGTGGGACTGTAAATCAGTTTCAGACACGCTCTACACCTCACAAATAAACAACACACATGCTATTAGGTTGTTCGGAAAGTAATGCGGGTTTTCAACCTCTATTTTTGAAGAAGCATATCTCCACTCAAATTCAACATTTTCGATCGTAACAAAAACTATTCAAAACTACATATTTTTCTTAACAAGATGCACACTCAACTGTCCCGCCCATGTGACAATGAGCGCTTCTGTAGGCGATGAAATCATCGAACGTCGTTTCCAGATCACTTTGAACACTGAAGTATTTCTTGCTCAAGAAGCTGTCGGGATGGTTGGAAAAAGTGTTATTGGTGAGCGAGAGGTCCAATGAGTACGACGTGTTGAGCAAAGCTTCGTATGCCAGTTTGTCCAATCTTTGCGAGGTCGTTTATGGGACATGTGGCTGAGCGCCACCATGAAGGAGGGTTGTTTCATTTCTCTCGGTTGACGAAGTTGGTGTTTCTAGAGCATCTCATCGGTATGCTGGAGAGACATTGGTGTTGTGTCAAATTCACCTGGTTCCCAAGAGGTGTGGTGCATCAGTCCCGTGGGAGACCGCCGAATGTTCAGCTCAACATTGACCTACTACAATTTCGGCTTTAGATAACTTTTTGAAGATTCATCGCGGTCCAGCTTGTGAAGGGATGGCTTGCTATATTCGTGAACAGTCCATTTTCCATTTTAGATTGCAATGCTTTCCTAATATTCGTGGTTTTCGTTACGTAAAATGGGTGGAAACGACACCTTAGGAATACGGTTTTGCTGCTGCATCGGGTAGCCAATGCGGTAGCCATCTGTTCAGCTTTTTCACCTCCCCAATTATCTTCATGAGACACAATCTTTTCAATATACTTACTCCCAGTCCTACTGCTAACTATAGTGCAGTTGGTCCGAAACCATCTTCTACGGGAACCTTTAGAAGGCCGTCGTTAACAGCGGAATCATGCTCATGACTCCCCTCACCTTCACGATGGAATTCATTGAGACCAAAATATTGGAGCCGATGATTGTGCTGTGCTTTTATTGGCCTTCCTTGGCCTCCATGATCCTTCAGTGTTATTTCGACTGGTCTGCAAAGCACTACCTCAGAGTTTCAGCACATCGAAGTAAACTTGCCAAAATCGCTGTCTTGACACCTTTATTTCAAATCTATAAAAACCCCGAAATAGCAAGCCATATTGAAACTCAAATACATAAGGAAAGAAGATACAATAGGCTTGCCAATGATATATAGGGCTTCAGGTCTCGAATGAAATATCAGTATAAAAATATTTCATGAATGCATGGCATCTCGAAACCCGCATTACTTTCCGAACAACCTAATATTTTTCAGAAGACTATCCCACGTTGCTGCTATTCTAAGTAGCACTGTTAGCATCCCATGTATAGAATCTCCACTCACAATTTCCAGGAACGTGTATTTCAAGATTGTTGCCAAAGACGTATTCTCAGAGAAAGTTATTTCATAAGAGTGTCATTTTTGCATCGCGGTTGAGACCACATTAGTGGCAGTGCTTTGTTGCAAGCAATTCAACCGCACTTTAGTGAAACTCAGACGACGAAATTTTTTCAAAACCCATTCCCGATATGGTGTGTAACAAATATAAATTTGGAAGAGGAGGCGTCAAGGCAGAGTAATGCCTGCCAGTTGCTGCTACCAGATACTCGACGATGACGAGGTTCCAGTCGTAAGAGTAGGACACGTAGAATAACAATCCTGTGGGCAGATAACAGCATAGTGGTACCATAGCTTGTGCTGTGAGTGCCTTAAGGAAAAAGTTGATTTAGTGAGAAGAAGCAAAGTTGGCGTTAGCTTTGTTAATGAATCACACTCTACCATATTCCATTCTTACAACAAGTAAGAAAAGAAGCTTTTTTTGTACAGTTTGGCTGCTTCTTCCGTGCTTTTGGCAGTGTTGGAGCTGCTATCATTCGCAAGCGTCCATTTTGTGTATTCATTATATTCACTGAGATGCGCTAGAAGTTTCTAACTCGATGATACTTAGGTTTCCATTAGTTATATCTTGTTATTTGCCGCTCCCCTGTTTGCCGTCCATTTGCTAGTTCAGCTTCCTGAGTCTGTACGAGCATATTCAAGATTCGCTCGCCAGCGTTACACGTTTTTGTAGGTCATTTACGACAACGGCAACGTGCTGTGACGGCACTGTTTTCTCACCAGGACAATCAAAAACCCGCTTTGAACCCTATCAAACAAACTACCTTGTGTGGCAGGTACAGAGGAAAAAGTGGTATTGCCCTCGCTTAAGGTCAACAACACGTAATAACTTCGTATAGCATACATTATACGATTGCCTCTTCATAGAAGATTGGAGCGCAATTGGTAGCGTAGAAAGAATTATACCGACACCGCCGGTCGTTCTAGGACTGTCACACAGAGCGCGATTTGAACTCGAAGCCGGTGCCTTCGATTTGCTGCAAGACCACCTACTTTCAAAGCACATAAGTCAACTCGTCTACGTCCCATTGCTTCTACTAACTCGTGGGAGCCGCTCGAGAACGTACCTTCGTTCAAAGTTGCGGCGGAAAAATGGCGCGACTTTTAGACTAGCTCAGTTTTCTCCCCGAGCCGTCCGTGCACTGGGAACCCCTGTACCATTCTACACTCGCTTGGGCTTGTGCGCACGTCGGCTCACACGGACGCCCTCTCCTCTGCACCGTCCCAAACCATTTTATGCCGCCTACTCAAACATAGACCTCTATCATGGGTGCTTGTGGGAGGCGGACGCTCCGCTTACCAACGCCTCACCGCTTGACTAGTTCTGACCGCGTCTCACAACGACCCGTACCAGAAGCAGCTAAGTTCTCAGTGGCCACTGTGTCGAACTTTACACTTGCATAAAGAACAACACCCCTCACTACTCCGACACTTAAAGGTAAACCGTAATATATTTGACTCAAATTATTGATTCTCATTGCCCCGCCGAATACATGAAAAAGAAGGGGCATCATGCCGAAACCAGTCAAACCAAATTGTTGTCACAAGGGGCAGAAGGAAAGTGAGGGTTTCGCCGGCTGCTACTTTACACAACTTTTCTCGTCGCGAGCGCTCTTTGAGAACACTGCTTCGATTAAGTTCACAAAACCTACGCAATTCTATCATGCGCTTGATGAAAGGCGTGACTCTTCATAAAGTCGTTTCGTCATGGCTCGCTCTCCGGAACTTCTGCAGTCTTGAACCTGTTACATGAGAGGAGTGCTCTTGAAATTACATCAAAATGGGCCAAATGCCCCGGCATATCCGCCCAGTATTCTTCATCAGTGAAATACCGACTTATCCTTTACAGATGGTTCGAGCGCACATTACGCAAACGGCCGTGGCCTTAAACCAGCTGAGCTACAGACTATGCTGGCTCACCTTCATGAAAAGTTTGGAAATATTCTTGACTGTCTCTGAGTGCTCCTCTTGTGATTTGTGAAGCTCTTTTAGCATGAGATGCTTGAGGCAAACAATAATAATTGGCGATGATGTAACGATAGTAAACGAAATCACTACATAAGCGATCATCTGTACGCCATCTGATGATGTGAAGCCTCCGAATTCTCCATACCTGAATTCTTTTCCTTATAGTAGCGTCGAAAAGCAAACATGATAACTCACTCCTCTAAGTGTTGTCCAGGATGTTCACGTATAGTCACATTCATAAGATTGTCGAAGTCCATTGATTGAGTATAAGGTAGAACCTGTGAAATCACAATTGTTTGTTGTCGGAGAAAATGCACAGCAATTTTTCAACACTACAGCTTTTCCAATGTGAGTATTTTCAACCTTATGGATTCGGTGCACGATAACCAATCCATCACGCTCGCGATTTCGACCCCTCTAATAGTCCTTAACTCACGCTATTGCTTGCTGTCGGCGACCCTCTGTGCCTCCTTTTCGCTCTCATACATACGCTTAAAGGAGGACAAGTATGTGAAAAAAGTTTGTCACAACACTGGTTATTCATACCAACAAATATCTCACAATCGATACTTCAGAGTGTGAAAGAGTTGGGAAGATGACAAAAAAAGCGCGAGGAAAAGGAAGTCGATGGGGATTTCGGGACTTGAAAAGATTGTCGTTATGTGAGGATGTTCAGCGGCGTATGGTCTGGTGGGAATACGTGGAAATCGTAGCGATTTCCAAAGAAGCACAGTTCTTTTATATAAATCCAGTTGGCGCCGCACGCGTTGCGCGCACAGCACAGGTCTGCGGCGATGTGGGATGGTGCAGTCAAATATTCGAGGGGTAATGGGCAAATTCTCAAATTTGCTCAATGCACTACGAAGATTTGACTTCTAGATTTTCAGCTAGATTCTATCCACTCCATCCACCGATGGCTTTTGACTTCCCTCCTTCGTCAACCAATTGTCCGTTTTTCCCGGTCTCGGACTGCCTCTGGACCGATTTATAAACCTCGTGGTAAACTCCGCCTATTTCTTGCATGTCCCACCTATCTTTTTCTTCCTCGCAAACCTCCCTCAACTGTTTCTGAGCCGATTTATATTTTTGGCGGTGAAACTGCTTTTTTGGTGTATCCTCCGCACACCATCTTTTCCTTCGCCCACTTCTCTCCCGATCTCGAGGACTACTTGGAGCCGAGTTACAAAGTTTCGTTTTGAACTCCGCCCGCTTTGCACGCTCCACCCACCAATAGCAGTTGTCCTCCCGTGCTTCGTTAGTTGTCGACTCTTTTTCCCAGTTTCCTGGACTTCTCGGAACTGAATTATAGGCCTTCCTAATTCGATGTGACTTACCAATGCACACCTTTACCCACTTTTTGGCCCAGTTTCGAGGTTGTTTTGTCACTGAAATTGAAATCTTGGTCTCAGTACATTTCGATGCACGCCACGCCCACTGTGGGCGGGGCTCCGCTTAGCTGATGTGTGTTTTGTACTTCGTGAGACCTTGCCCACCCATCCCACACTTGACCCGGTCCCTCCAGGCGGATCCCGAGGAGCTAGGGAATTTCGTGACAGACATACAGAACGACAGACGAAGCGTTTTATAGAAGACCAGTTGACGCGCACGCGTTGCGCGCACAGCACAGTTCTGCGGCGATATAGGATGGTGCGGCGTAAATTTCGAATTTGGCCCAATACACTTCGAATATTTGACTTTCAAGCTGAATTCTATCCGATTGCCCCATGCTTCATCCACCGATGGCTTTTGACCTTCCCTCCTTCGTCCACCAATTGTCCGTAATCGTCAACCAATTGTCCGTTTTCCCGGTCTCGGACTGCCTCTGGACCGATTTATGAACCTCGTGCTCCGCCTATTTCTTTGCATGTCCCACCTATCTTTTTCTTCCTCGCCAACCTCTTCCCACTTTTTACCCGATCTCTGAACTATCTCTGAGCCGATTTATAATTTTGGCGGCGAAACCTGCTTTTTTGGTGTGTATCCTCCGCACCATTAGAAATTCACTTCCTTTCCTTCGCCCACTTCTCTTTCAGTCTTCAAGTATGAATGAATGAAATGACTTATGAATTATGAAACCGAGTTATGAATTTTCGTGGCAACTCCGCCCACTTTGGTCATGCCCCGCCCACCGATGACAGTTGGCCTCCACTCCTCCACCCACCTCTATCCACCTTTTTCCCGGTCTCCGGGACTTCTTGGAACCGAGTTATGAATTTTCGTCGCAAACTCCGCCCACTTTGGTGCACGCTCCGCCCACCAATAGCAGTTGACCTCCTTCCTTGACGACTCAATCCACTTTTTTCCCGGTCTCCAGGACTTCTTGGAACCGAGTTATGAATTTTCGTGGATAACTCCGCCCACTTTGGACATGCCCCGCCCACCAATGACAGTTGGCCTCCACTCCTCTATCCACCTTTTCCGGCTCACTAAGACTTCTCCGGCCCGAATTATGAGGACTTGTAGAAAACGCTGTACACTTCAGAGCGCGCTCCGCCCATTGTGGGCGGGCCTCCGCCCACGTCATGTATGCTGGGAACACCTTAGACATTGCTCCCCTACACCAATTTGTTTTCTGCTCTGTAGGCTTTCTCCCAACCGAGTTATGAAATTTTTCATAAAGCACTGCTTTTTTGGAGAACGCCCCGCCCACCGGGTTGGGTCTCCTAATTCGATGTGACTTACCAAAGTGAAAGTGAACTGGGCCAGAATGTGGGTTAAGTGCATACCTTAACCCACTTTTTGGCCCAGTTTCGAGGTTGTTTTGTCACTGAAATTGAAATCTTGGTCTCAGTACAGTTCATTTCGACGCACGCCACGCCCACTGTGGGCGGGGCTCCGCTTAGCTGATGTGTGTTTTGTACTTCGTGAGACCTTGCCCACCCATCCCACACTTGACCCGGTCCCTCCAGGCGGATCCCGAGGAGCTAGGGAATTTCGTGACAGACATACAGAACGACAGACAGAACGACAGACGACAGACGACAGACGAAGCGCTTTATAGTAGTAAGTAAATGTTTTGCAAAAACCTATTCCTCTGAAATTTTGCTGCAAAGAGGACTCACTTTGCATGAATTGTATATTTCTAAGGTTAAAGCGAAATTCTTTCTCCTGCCAATTTTCACACTAAATAGTCATGATTATTTACAGATATATCTCCTAAAAATAGAATAAAAATCTGAAAATGGTAAAGTTTAATTTCCTTGGAGGAGTGAAATTCCATAGTGAAGCGAAAACGTTAAAATTGCCGCGGACTTCTGCTCAAATAACGCGAAACAACTTGTATGCGAGTTTTCATATTTTCCGTGACAACTTCTTTCAAATTGATTCGCGAAACATAATTAGAGATAA